TGCAATTTTTACTTAAAAGCGGACACAATTTGGTAAATTTTACCGTTTTATTTTTTTCTTTACGATAATTTGAACCGGAGTTATGATTTTTTGAAAATAGGTCAAATTTGACCTTTGACCTATCATAACTCGGTCCAAAAAAAAAGATATTGATTTGCGGTTTGCGCCAAAATTCTTAGTTTTTTATGCTCTTTCGAATGATGTATCACAAGATAAGGGTTGCCATTTGAAAAAAAAAGTTGGGGGCCCCCCGTGCCCCCCCTGAGGGGGGACCAAAATTTTGACCCCCCCAAAATATGGTTCCCTTTGAGATAGGAACATTCCCAAAGTTTCATTACCCTAGCTCAATTCGTTCAAAAATTAGCAGGGGTGGGACGGACTTTTGGTACACCCTGTATGGAAAGGGTAAGAAATCAACAAAGAACTAAATAATCAAGAAAAAATAAGTTGGTAGTGTCGTACATTTTGGAAGGAAACCAAACAGAAGGTGAACAAGTCACATCCTCATTCTATGCTTGTAGAACAAGTGAACATATGTACATTTTGCTTTACACATTTGCTTGCAGGAAAAATGCAATTGAAGAGATAAATTAAAACCTTTTACGCATAGAGGTAGAGGCAGAGCCAAAAGCTAGAATTGCGAACTGAAATGAAAGATGAAGACTATACACTTCCCCTTCAGATACTATTTACTTCCATGGCCCTAAGAGGGTTCTGTAAGAGAACTCTATGGAGGGATTTCAGAAGAACTGTCTCTAGAGAATGACCCTAAAAATGGTCGCTTTTTGGCACAATTTCAGACTGCAGGGATTTTTCTAAAACCAGGCCCAAATGATACCTTATGATACCCTAAAACTCTTGTAAAATTTTTAGCTTGAGTTTACAAACGGTTTTTGAGTAATTGCGGGGGAGAGTGGGAACAAGGTTGCCAAAGCGTCATCATTCTTGACAGCGTTTCTGCAGCAAAAGCGACAGGGAAAATAGACGAAGAAGTTGCACCTTTGTTGGGTTTTGGCTATGAATGTTCTTATTGAGCCCCCGTGTGTTTATCTTGTGTTCAGTTTCGAGAGTCCAAAATTGGGAGAAATCGTGGACAAATCAGGAGTCCTTGTCAAATGTTTTAAAAATGGACGAAAAGTTGTTGGTCTCCTGCAGAGTTCATGACTAACTATGTTCTTATCTGTTCTCAATGCATAAAATTGTGTTAAGCAGTACAACATTTGCATCGCACAGTGGTCCAAAATGGGTAATCAGTGGACAGATTAAGATCCTCTGTCGAACTTATTAAAAATAATATAGAACTACGGGGTTTTTCGCGAGGTTCACAAGGTGTAAATTTAAAACAGGTAGGTAGCTAATAAATGCTATCCATATTCATCATTTTGAACTAAACGAATGAAGTC